CCCCCCCGGTCATCCCAGCAGTCTGTTTCCTTAAACTTCTGTCACTGCCCCCAAACTTTATAGTTGAAAGTTGAAACAAATAAGGACTTGGAGCTGTCTTCCTGACGGACGGGAAAGCGCTCGCTTCCTGATCCTGAGGAGCTGTAAGTGCTTACAACCTCGGAGTTAGGATTCGTAATGACTATCACCTAGATCCTGCAGCTAAACTTTCCCAGGCAGTGTTGCGCGTGAAGCCTCTGGATTCTCGGTGTGTTTGTTGACATTATCTGGAAAGCAGGAATGCAAAACTGTTATTTACATTTGTGTGCATTTTCTGTTTTTAAAAAGCATGTTGATATAAGGTATATAAAATTAAACGACCTTTAGAGGAGACGGTCCCTTTGTTGTTTGGTCTCCGTGTTTGCCTTAAACAGTGTGCCACTTCTGTAAGTTATCTTTTGGTGAGTGTTAGCACTCTTAGCCTTTATTTCAAAGTATTGCCAAACAGGTGTAGAATACCTTTTTGCAAAAAAAATTAGTTTTTCTGTATCTAATATTGGTGGATAATTCTACCATCTGTAGCTCAGAGAATTGTGCTTTAATTAGTAAAGTATAATGGCTAGTAATTCACATCTGTACAAAAAAAATAGCTACTACATTTTTTACAGCAAAGGGACACTGTCTGGAGGTCATTTGGTTTTAATCTAAAGTTTGTTCCTTTTCAGCATCTGACAGTTGTATTCTTTAATGTAGTGTGTACTGTTTACAGGGCAGGAACACTATGCCTCTTGTTCACCTGTTTTTCCTAGGACCTAACTTTGTGTCTGATACAGTTGGCATCATTTAACGTTGTCCTGGAACTAGTGTTTCTTGAGCAATTAAAAATATTTGTGCCTCTTTTGAAGAACTAATAGAGACCTCAAAACGCCTGCCTTTTTTCCATTTAACCCTGACCTTCCCAGATCTTTATCCTTCCTCTTAAAAAAATGCTCCACCTGTTGGCCGGAAGAGCATTTACAGCTACCTGTTCAAGTGATTTGTTAAGTGGGTATGAGCTGTAGAAGAGGACCCTAAGTGAATTACAAGGTATCCCTCATGACTGGCCTTGGTGGACAGAGCATTAGTATAGGTTTGCCTTCTCTCCCCATCTTAAAAGATCAAGAGGGGTAGAAAAGGGTGGCAAGAGTGTGGACTTGTCTTCTTTGTTTCTCCAAGCAGAGACTGTTGGGCCCAGCATCAGATAGTTGACACTTTTTGATAAAAAGGATCCTAGGCAGATCTGTTGAGATCTTGGACTGGGAGTGGTAATCCTCTAATAGTGAGTGCATAACACTGCTCTTACCTCACAGTATGTCAAGGATCATCTGTAAAAACTTCATGACTGCTGAAACTGCACCTTCAAATTTCTCGTTGCAAATATTGTATCATAAGTGATATACAAAGTTTTATAAGCCAAATTTTCTTCCAGCCCTCCATCATTGAGAGATCACTTGGAAATAGTCTGACACTAGAAGAATTATTGTGAAAAGTGCCTAGGTGCCTAGAAAGAAAAGAAATCCTAGTCTGTTTTTACTCTTGAAATGGCATGTCACTGAAGCTTTGGGCCCCTCCTCCAAGATGGTTTACTCTTCTACCTTGACCACCAGAGTATACTCACTAATGCTTCTCTGTGGTACTTCTTCATTTCTTATGGACTCAGAGATGGCCTGATGTTTTCTGGGGATTTCATGCCAAAGTATTTGTTGATGCCTCTATTCCTTCAGCGTGCCACCAAAGTAACTATCCTCTTATGAGGTAGGACATTAGTTTTCAAACTGCAAGTCATGGTCTGTGAGTGAATCGGGTAATAAATTTAAGAGAGTCCAACAGGATGTTTTTGTTTTTGGTAGCAGTGGTAAGAACACTCAAAATGCTTTTTTATTTTTTTTTTTAATGTTTGATAGAGTATTGTTAACTACAGGATTGATGTACCAATCTCTGGAATTTGTTGTCTTGCATAATTGGAACTATGTTCTTAGATTAGTAACTCTTCATTTTCCCATCATCCTACCCACCTGCATCTTCTGTTCTCTCTGATTTAAGGAGTTTAAATGTTTTGGATAGCTCATGTAAGTGCAATAACACATTTATCCTGCAGCAGGTTTATTTTACTTAGTGTGATACTTTCAAGGCTCATCCAAATTGTCATATTTTGCAGCACTTTCTTGAAAAAAGGTATTTTATTTTTATTATTTTTGTTTAATGTGTATGAGTGTATTGCCTGCGTGTATGCAAGTGCACCCGTGTCATGGAATGCCTGCAGAGGTAAGAAGAGGGTGTTGGATTCCTCTGGAACTGGAGTTATAGATGGTTGTTAGCTACCGTGTGGGTGCTAGGAATTGAGCCCACGTCCTCTGCAAGAGCAGCCAATGCTCTTAACTGTTGGACCATCTCTCCAGTCCCCTTATTTATCTTTTGGAAGAACAGATTTGTTTGTTTCTATTTCGTTAATTACTGTACTGATTATAATTATTTCCATTGACTGATTTTAGCTGGTCTTGTTTTTCCAAGTGTATCAATAAGTTATTTGAGAGCTCTGATTTCCTAATATATAGGCACTTAGAGCTATAAGCTTCTCTTAGAACTTCCTTCATTGTATCCCATAGGTTTTGGTATGTTATGTTTTCACTTTCTGTACTAGGGATTTTTTGATTTCCTTCCTGATTTCTTCATTGACCCATTCGTCATTCAGAACTGATACTTATCTTGATGACTTTGCGTATGCATGTTCTGTAGTTTCTCTTGCTGTTAATTTATGTTTTTATTCCATTGTGACCAGATAGAATACAAAGAATTATTTCAGTGTTCCTGTATTTGTTAATCCTTAATATTTTATGTCTTAATACATGATCTGTTTTAGAGAAAGTTCACTGGGCTGCTGAATTCTTCAGTGTTTGGATGGAATGTTCTGTAGATGTCTGTTAAGTCCATTCATTTAATTCAGATGTTTCTCTTTGTTTGGTTTTTTTTTTTTTTTTTTTTTGGGGCAGTGTAAGACAGTGTCTCCCTGTAACCCTAGCTGACCTGAAACTCACTATGTAGACCAGGCTGTCCTTAGGTTTACCTGTCCCTGCCTCCTTGAAGGCCTAAACCACCATGCCCAGCCTTCTTGTTTGTATCTTTTCCTGGGTGATTGATGAGTAGGGTATTAAAGTTGATAGATTTGTCGTTGAAGACCTGTGAGGTTGGCCTTATGAACAAGAGCAACAAGTGTGCACAGTGGGAACCCACTATGATACACACTGAGCAGATGTCGAAAGGCATGATAGGGTGGGCCTGCCTATATGCAGAAGCTCTGGGAAGCAATTGGGAAACAGTCTGAGTAGATAAAAGTAGAGAAAGGTGTGGTGAGTGCTGTGCACCATGGAGATGAGGGCTGGCCCTGCTGGAGAAAAAGTGTTCCAGATATGATGTTGTACTGAATAGACATGATATCAAACACTACTTTGTATGGTTTGATGGTGCGCTTGGGGGTGGGGCCATGGACTTTTTTGAAAAAAACAGTAGCAACCAAACAATAAAAAACTGGTCATAGTTTGGAAGAGGGCTTGGCACGTGAGAAGTGCTTAGCTCTGTATACTAGAACAGTGTTGACACCTCCACAGAAAGTGCTTAGAAGCTGCTAAACTGTGTGTGATCTTGAGCATAGACACTTCACTTTCTCCCTCACTTCCATGTTTTGCAGTTTGAGTGTGACAATTTGAGTAAGATTGATTTTTATTCTTATTCTTAAACATGCCTGTTTCACCTTTAATATCCTAGCCATAGGCACCATTTATTACACTATTTCATTGGGAAACAGAAGTTCTAACAAGTGCCAGGCAAATACCTCATTTTGCCCCTTAATGGGGATGATGGAGAGGTGAGTGAACTTCCTGGGTGCTCTGATGCATGCTGGGAAAACAAGTACAAGTGCTGGTTGTTGTTCAAGCTACACGTGATTTCCGAGTATGTATTCTGTTTATAGCTTGGTGAGTGCACATTAAAATACTGCTATGACTAGGGATATAGCTTGGTGATAGAGTTCTTTCCTGGTATGCATAAGGCCCTGGATCAGTTCCCCCCAGTATTACCAAAAAATAAATAATTTAAGACTGATCAAGGAGCTCTGTAATGCATAGGGTGATAAATGCCACTCTTGATTTCTTGTATTATTGTTAATGACTTTTCCAGATATTTAGCAGTGTCATCAGACTTGAAATCTGATTCCAAGTTTAGGTTATTTGCACTGAATGATACGTTATCAAATGTCCTGTTAAAGCACTCAAACTGTGCTGGTTGGAGAAGTATCAGAAAATAATGTTTAAAAGCAAATGTATGAAGATGCAAATGACCATAATGAAACCATTATTTTGTATAATTAATATATGCAAATAAAGTGTGCGTAAAAAAGAAAGCAAACAATCTAGCTATTAAAAATAAGACTTTACGGACATTAGCATACAAGCCTCTGCATGAATTTCTGCTTTGCTTTATCTTATTACTTACCAGTGCCATGCTTTACATTTTTTCAGGAAACTACCAAACTTATACCAAAGTTGTGCTATTTTGCATTCTCATTAACAGGGTGTGGCATTTCTAGCTGATTTATAGCCTTGCTGACATTTGGTATGGGAGTATGGTCCATGGTAATATTTCCTTGTAATTTTAATTTGCATTTTCGTAAAGACCAATGATTTTGAGAGCGTCTTTTTGCGTACT